ATATATATGCATACATTTAATATATTACTAATATTTAACTATTCATTGTATATAATAAATTTGAGGTCTAAACGTCATTTGTCATTTATCATTTTTATCACTTCAAAGTTTTCATTTTGTATTTCTTCAACTCAAAATTTAAAAGAGAACAAAAGAAAATTAACTGAGGTGTACTCGATTTAGACACAGACTAAAAAAAAAAAATTCTTCATTATAAATTTGGGTGCTTATTAAAATCCAGAACAGGGGGGAAGAGGGTTGCAGAGAGGACAGTTAATGTGCACAAGGTGTGGTTGAATAGGAAGAATGACAGCCAATGTTTTATAGCATATCAGGATAACTGTGGTTGGTGACAATTAATGGACTACTTCAAGATAGCCAGTAGGATTTTAAATGTTCTCAACGCAAAGAAGGAAATACTATATCTCTAAGGTTATAGATATACCAATTGTCCTGACTAATCATAATCTGTTATTTTTATGTTTTGTACCCCATAAATATGTATGATTACTACATGTGAATTAAAAATAAAAATATATTTTAAAAATTAAGAATCTTCTGAAAGATGGAAACAAAAAAATAAGATTATCACTGAGATAAATATGACAGCAAGTTTTCTGTAACTGATAATATTGGATATTTTTGAAATCGTGAGGTCTCTAGTTGTACCTCTATAAGCATTTCTCTTTACTACTCACTGCTGGAAGGACACGTTTTACTCCACATTATAACTTTGGTTTGCACTTGGATGAAGAGAACTGTTGTGCTATCACATTTTTACCTACCATGCATATGTCGATAGCAACAAAGTTTTCTTTGTATCTCACTCTGTCTTGCTTGGTACAGTTTCAAGGACAATCTCTTGAATTTCTGAAATAGAATCCTGATAATGCAAAGAAGACATTTTTTCAAAAGCATTCCTGGAACACGAGCACTGGTATAGACTTTGCCAGCCCCAAAGATGATGGTTCTGTGGGTTATTTAGCAGCTGGAAACTCAGTCTTGGATGCTTTATTTTTTTATTTCCAAAATGCCGACATCTAACCAAGTCTTTTCTGTTCTTACATGGATTTAGAGTAAGAGTAATGGATGAAAATATACAGAAAAAGTACAAAGATTATTCTGTTTAATGTGATTCTCTTTTTCTTACCAATAGACTTGATGTCACGACAATTTTGATATGCACTGAGAACATGCTGTGGTCAGTTTGTACATCTGTACAGAGACTTTTGAGTCCTCAGGAGTATAAGGATGATAAAATTTTTAAAATTCATATCCATTGTAACGATCTTCTTACAACGTTAGCCATTTTGACTTCACCATTAAGAGAATTATATAAGTAAGTATCAAATGCGTACTATTTTTAACTTTGTTAATATATAAAATCATGTGTTTAACAAAGTTCTTTTCATGTCACTTATCAAATTATGTTAAGTAGCAAGTAAAGATTCTGAAGTGAGTTTTTTGTACTGTGAATTGATGTATTTTGTAAAATAACATCTACTGACAGAAGTTCCTTCATTATCAGAGGGAGTTAGTTGCCAGGAACATTGCTTCTCCACTGGCCAATTCCCTTCAGTCTGTGAGGTTCTCATGCAGTCTGCAACACTGTAAACTTTCTCTTGTGAGCTGGTGGTCAAGTGTTAGTTGCTGCTTGATGCTATATAAAAAGGAAATAACATGTAGTTGCTTTTTGCTCTTTTGAAAACATATTTTAGGGGACAACCCACTGGGGCCCCCTCTCTTAGGCAGAAGCTTTCTTTCCTCCAGTAAATAGTAGTAGAATTCAGTGCTTGAACTAGTAATGGCAAGTGGAAATAGAAATAAGTGAGTACATTACAAGAGGCTAACATATTCTATTTAGCTAGACAAGACTCAGAGAAATTAAAAGTTGTGAACTATTGTTTGAGTTCAGGTTAATCTGATTCACATTTGCAATGTTATAAAAGAGATTGGAATAGATATTGTAATTTTAACATTAATTTCATTTAAAAATCCTTCTCCTATACTATCAATTTCCCACTGAAAGGTTAAATAATTGTCTGTCTTTAGTTTATTAGCAAAACTTTTACACAATATTTCTACTTAGGTTAATTTGTGAGGCATTGCTTCCTATAATTTTTTGGTAAAGGTGATACATATCATAATTTTCAATAAATTTCTTCTTTTTTAATGTAATTAGTACAGGATCTCCAGGGTCTCACTATACAGATTGAACTTGTAGCGATCTTTCCTGTTTTTCAGCCTCCCAAGCGTTGGGATTACAGGGGCATGTCATCATGCCCAGTCTCAATCCCTGTCTCAGCACACCCTGGAAACAGGGCTGGCATGATAGGCCAGGGATCAAACCCCTGTCCCCTACATCTGCCTAAGTAGGCGCTTTAATCCACTGAGCTATCTGGCCAGACCTGTTTTTCAATAAATTTCAAGACTTCTGTCTTGAATATTCGAAGAGCAATTAACAAGTTTGGTTTTAATTTCCCTACGATTTTTTCACCTAGTTTTGCCTTTCAACAAATGCATTGTTTATAGAATATTCCTTCTACCAGGTGAAGTGGAGAACTAAATTTAGAAATGGAAAATTCTTTCAATAAGGGGAAGAATCAATGAGATGAATCTCCACAATGTTAAGATTATATACATAATGGTTGATAATCATAACAAGCTTAAGTTTGAAGCCCATAATAAATCCTGGTAAACTATACTGATTTACCATAGATGAAAAAATTATTATGCTCTCAGTTCACTGAGTCATTTCATCTAAGAGGAAGGCCCTGTGAAAATCAGGAACAAAGTTGATAAATTTCATGGATTGGTCATGGTGAGCAATATTGAATTTCATGGCTTGTCACAGATGAATTGAAAAATTTTAACCCCCAATGCATTTGTAAAACAAATAAATTATTGTCAAAGATTGTATACTTTAATAATAATTACATCACATACATTCATTATTATTAACCTATAGCCTTTTGATAAATTTTTAACAACTTTGGAAATATTCAAATCTTTGTGATTTGTGTATTAGATATTGCTTTGAAACCTCATTCAGCAAATTTAAATTGTTAATTTCAACCAGCAGTATAGAACATTTTATACCAAGCCCTGTGCTTAGATTTTCTTAATATAAAACATAGATAGCTCTATTGCTTTCAAGCATGAACGAAGACCTAGATATATTTCCGTTCCTTTTAAATACTTCTCAATTTAAGAATTCACATGTTTTATTTTGAGGTTGATTTAAATTTTATTGTTGTTACCTAGAATACAAATCTAATCTTTGAGATAGATTTTGACTTTTGTTGCCAGAAGAAATTTACAGGGAAGCATATTCTTTTCCAGCTGGGGGAAAATATATGTATTTTGCAAGAACCCTATTGCCTCGCTGAGTTTATTTTCACAGCTGAAATATTAAGTTGTCATATTATTAGCATTTTAGAAAAAAGCTGTCTGTGTCTCATGTTAAAAAATTAAACCACATCCTTTGAGGAATCAGTGAAAAGTAACAATCAGTTGTTGATAATATTCAGTTTTTCTAAGCTATCCCCCTACTATTAGTCATTTGGTAAGAAATGCCTTTTTCAGAAGGTGACTATCTTTATTTCAAGTAGTTCTGACGGATAAGCTGAAAGTGTTTTTCCTTTCTTAGCTTGGTGTAGGACCACTAAATCCCAGGGCAGGATTACATGATTTTAAAATCTTTTCAGGAAGAATGAAACCTGTTTGCAGAAATGTGTGTGTTCATTTTTAAGTTGCCTTTGTAGAATTATGTTCAAATGCTATGTGAGGAGTACTTTAGATTTGTCCTCCAGGGAAAGAGACCTGCTGAAACATAAAATATTCACCATGTATTTTCCCAAATGCTTAGCACTTGTAGTTCTTTTGTGAAGGCAGTTAAACTGCATTTGGAAGCTTACTCACATGTAGAACTGCACACATACGGTACAGTGGTTTCCTATGTTGCAGTTTGATGCGTAGATGATTAGTTTTTGTTTGAATATAATAAGTTGAAATTGTTAGAGGGCTAGGAATCACTGTTATACAACTATTCCTAGGTTCAATTTGCAGCACCTTTCCTACCCCCAAATGAATTTCTAAATAGGATTTCAATAAATAGACTTTGAGTTTAACTCAATAAATAAATTGTCTCTTTGGGCTCTGTGATAAACCACAGGGACATAACTAACAGTAAGCAAGATGTGATATCTACCCTGCAGTCATTCAGGAAAGTCTGATGAAATTTTTAAGGTTACAATTATATAATAAGCTTAGATTTTTCCAAGATGTTTTGATATATCATATTGAAATTCCTTAAAGCAGAAACTTTTTGAAAGTTGAGTGCTTCAACATTTAACAGAATGCAAGAGCAAGATACCAGCACAGTGCCCTCATATCGGCAAGGCTGAGATCCTCAGATACATGACGAAGGGTGGATTCCCAAACCAGGAACAGCAGCTCATCCTAGGGTGACCTTCGTGTTACTTCTAGGGATTTTGAATCCTTAAAATCATGGATATTCCAGTGCTGTGTCCGTAGCTTTGTTTCAAACTAATATTAAGGGGCTGGGGAGATGGCTCAGTGGAATAAGTGCCTGCCTGGCAAGCGCAAGGCCTGAGTTCAATCCCTGGTTCCGCCAAAAACAAAAAACAAAACAAAACAAAACAAAAGTCATCTATTGAAACTAATATTAAGTCTTTTGAGGTTATATTCTTCACCAATTTTTTTTTTCCTCAACTATTGCACTATCTCTCAGAATACAAATATTTTGGACTAAAGTTTTGTTTTTTATATGTCAAGGATGGCTGATGCCATTTGGAAAAGTTAAGCAATTCCTCATAATATTAATATTAACTGCACTTGGGAAAAGTGTTGAGATATGGACCCAGAAATAAAATCATATGTCCATACAAAGAATTGTGTAGCATTTTTCACAATAGAACAAAGTGATGTAACCCAGATATCCATGAATAGGTAAATGAGATATGGTCATTGCACACAGTGGAATATTATTCAGCAATAAAAAGAGTAATGTAGTGAATTCTAATAAGCAATTGGTATGAACCTAAAAACCATTTTGCTAAGTGAAGTATAATCCAATGCCACAGATGTAGTAACACATTTTTTCATTACTTTTGTAAGAAATATCCAGAGTAGATAAATTCAGAGACAGAAAGCAGATTAGTGGTTGCCAGGGATTGAAGAGAGAAAGACAAAAAGAGTGACTACAAATAGGTACAAAGTTTATTTTAGGAGTAAAAAATTGTTCTAAAATTAGATAATGAAGTAGTTTATGCAATTCTGTGAATATAGTGGAAAGACTTCAACAGTGCAATTCAGATGTGTATAATGAATGACAAATCTTAATAAAACTCTCAAAAATGAATATAGATTAGATTGAATGAAAAAAATATTTAAAATGTAAAAAATAAGCTGGGCATGGTGATGTATTCCTGTGGCCTCAACACTCTGGAAAGCTGAGGCAGAGGGCTCACAAGTTGACCCTAGAATCTCTTTCTGTCTCTCTCTCTCTAATCACATATATAATATTAATAATACACACACACACACACACACACGTATGTTATAGCTCAGTGTGTGTAGGAATCCAATGGTCTCTCTGTGATCAGTTCTACCTAGGGAAAAACAGTGGCAGGAATGAGAAAGATAGACAAGGAGACAAAAGCTGGGCTAGGTGGTCGCTGGTCTGCCTGATGGGCAAGACTAACCTCCTGCACAACAAAATCCATGTTTATTTATACATTTGCAAAGTTTTTAACACATGACACAAGGTTGTCTAGCAACTAATAGCTGACCTTAACCAGACCAGATGTTTATCTCAGGAATGACTAGCTTGTTTGCTTTAGGCTTGGAGACCCAGTCCCACTTACACACATTTGATCAATTTCCTAGCTTCCTGAGGTACTCAGCAAGTGTGCCGAGATACAGCTGAGCACGAGGGCCGTGGGTTCAATCCTTCTTAGCTGTTTTGTTAGGTGAGGCATATCCCTTTGTGTACTTTCCTCTAAAAAAAATTTTTTTTCTGTACCAGGGATTGAACTCAGGACCTTGCACTTGCCAGACAAGCGCTTATTTCACTGAGCTATCTCCCCAGCCCCTCTCTAATTATTTTTAAAGGGAAATATTTTCTAAAAACAGAACATCAAACCGTTTGCATGTGGTCCTAACAAGGTAGAGCACAGTGAGAGAACCAGCCACTCCCTCAGGAGCTGGCCTGTGACCTGAATCTGCAAAGGCTCCTGGTCTGAGGGGTCCAGTCTTCGGTTCTCCATCTTCCCTACTTTTTGCTCTCTACCTGCCCTTTGCTGTGTGCTTTCCTACATGGTCTCTGTGTTCATCTTCCTTTCTGACAATATCTTCTTTTGTTTAATCCTGTTTAATTTTTTTCCCACCACCTATTTAATATATTTACTAGGAATGAGACATTGTGCCACCATTTTCTAACTTAAAAGCATCCTTTTCTAATCTCAAAGAGGCATTTTCATTATGAGAAATTCAAGCCAGAGGGCAGAAGAAATGTAGTGAACTGTATCACAGTGTCTCTCTCATTTAATGACATTTAAGCAACATTGGGCCCTAGAAGTAATACTATTTTCTTTTTAAAGCAAAACAGTGACTATAAAATTCTCTTTAAGTCTTGAAGTAGACAGATTTTTCTAATTTCTACATGTTCACAGTTGCTTAGGATTTGGGGGGCCATCAAAAATTCTCACCTGTCTTCAGTTCTCCCATGTATTCAAGTGCTATCTCAGTAGTTCCATTTCAGGTGAATTCTTCTTCAAAGGTTATGGTCTTCTGTTGGTGTTTTTATTTACTAAACACTTCCCCTGGTAACCCAGCAACCCTAGGATGGAAGATGGTTACCTTCTGCAACATGAAGTCTCCACCTCCGTAGAGCTCCTACTCCTGAGCTACCTTCATTCCTTAGGGTAGGTTTATTCCATTCACCTCATATTACAAGATTAGATTCTGCTGGGAGGGCAGCCAAAATCAGAATCAGGCAAGAAAACATAAATCTTTCCATTATTCTCATTTTTTTATATGTCCTAGATTTATTTCATGCTGGTGGTTGGCTCAGGAAGGCAATCTTTGTTATGGATTAGGGAGCAGAGCATGGTGTACTTGTAGATCAGAGAACCGAAGGAACATGAATCTCGGAGCAAGTATTGGAGTGCTGAGGTACAGCCAGCCCGAGGCAGCATGGTGCTAGTGTGAGGGAATGTAGTTGGTTCTTCAATGATGGAGGAAAGACAGAAGCAAGGACCCCCAGATTTAACTTTCCATCATTTGGAAGTGAAAAAAAAAATGTCGTTTTCTTCAAATTGTGGACATTTATTTTTAAAGCACTTAAACTTCCAGTATCAAAATTCTTTTATGTTCCTGCAAAAAATATAATGCTGTGGCTCATACAATTACATTTTATTCTCCACTATGAATTATTCAGAGCTGCTTCTTTTTAGACTGTGTACCAAAACATCATTAGAGGTTATCTAATAGCGGGCTCGTAATTTCATTCCCCCAGTGAGGCTTGTGGTCCAATTTTCACCGTGTTACATTCTTCAGAATAATGAAACTAATTTGGGATCTTGCTGTGGAATTAAATGCCCATACAGATCCCACCCCCTCGGAGACCATAAACATCTGCTGTAACATCTCTTATGGCCAAATAACCTTACTATTTACCAGGATGACTGAGAAACTGTCAGTTGAGTAAGAGGTCCTTGCAGGAGTGTCCTGGTAAATGCTGTGTTGCCAGAAGATTTTTGTTGAAGAAATTTTGGCACCACTTACCCTATTATTATCAGATCATCATTATTTTTCTACTATGAGGTTAAAACTGTAGCTAGGCAATCATGTAGACTATTGAGAGTTTTATGCCAGTTTTGAGATAGTCACAGACCTTCTTAAGATCTATTTGCGCTTATCATACTGACCCCTTCCCTATGCTGAACATTTACTGTACAAGAGGCACTTTGTTAATTCTTTTTTTTTACTTTGTTAATTCTTTTATGTGCATTGTTTAACAGACTTTTCAGACTGACCTGTTTACCCCCATTTTACAAATGAGAAAATTGAGGCTAAGTAAATCACCAAACAGCACCACATGTCTAATAGAAAGCATACCCAAGATACAAACTCAGGCTATCTGGCTCCATTGCTCCTCTCTGTGCCCACACACTGCTTATAAATAACCTCCAGGGATACCACCCTTGGGGCATGGAGTAGACAGACAAAAAGTAAATGTGCAAAACCTGGAGGTAGTTAAATCCTATGAAGGAACAAAGCGAAGGAACTATAGAGAGGTGGTGGGAAGGGCTTCTGTCCACACTGTGGTCAGAGGACTCGTTAGAATTCTGAGGCAGAGTGCAGTAAGGAGCTGGCTGACCCCACCTGAAGGGGCGGCCTAGATAAAGTCTGCTTTCTGAGAGATGAGGGATGGCCCCTAGATAAGTGGACATATGGGGAGCTTTGCAAAGGGCTCCGAGAAGTGGAAGGAAGGCAGGCACTGGCTATGGTCCAGTCTTCTCCCCCAGCCCTCGCTGCCCACTCACCAGATCCTTCCCTCTTGTCCCGTCCACTCCTCACCCTGTCACCTTTGCACTGTCCATCTCTCCAGACTCCTGCTGCACCTCCTCTGTCTCTTCCTAGCCCCATCCTCCCCTTCTGGGCTTCCTTGCTATGTACGTCTTCCCTGTACCCGCCCTTTGTTGAGCCACCTGTCCAGACACTGGGATGCTGCTGGAAGGATCGTTCAGCAATCCTTGGCACCTGTTGCCAGCCCTGCTCTCTACCTGCTTTCTAGGCCTCTCCTCCTTCCATTCTTCTGCACCTTGCTTGACCCCTGACCTTACCCGAGCCCTGACCTTGCCTGTCTGAATAGCCTTGGCTCCATGTTTCAAAGAAAATCCAGATGCTCATGAAGGAAGTCTACTGTCTCACATCCATTCTTTTTATTTTTATTTATTTTTATTTTAGGGAAGGGTCTACAGAGTGTTCAGAGTCTCATTACTAGATTGGACTCGTAGTGATCCGCCTGTTTACAGCCTCCCAAGAGCTGGGATTACAGGCACGTGCCACCATGCCCAGTCTCAATTGCTGTTTCAGCGTGCCCCAGGGATGGCGCTGGCACGACAGGCCCAGGAATCGAACCCTGGGTCCCTGTGCCTGCTTGCAGGAACTGTAATCTACTGAGCTATTTGACCAGCTCTTCATATCCATTCTTAATCATTATTTTGATTCTATTCACTTCCATATCCCTTGACTGATCTCTGGTCAATATGTCCTTTTTCCGAACAAAGACAAATCTTTTCACCTGAGCACTTGATAACATTTACTTCCTATTACTCAGCCTTGGTCTTCGAAATAATCATTCATCTAGATCCTGCCCCAAGTGTTTCTACCTAAAGCCGGTCACACGCATTGTCTCCACCATCATGCTACCATTCTCCTGGTGCAGTCGGCATGGACTCCTACCCTTCTCATGCTAAGCAGACAGAAGCAACATCAGCCCTGAGCAGCCAGTCGCTGACTCCAAGGCATCTCTTCTTACTTGGCCATCACTGGCCATGTCCTTTTCTCTGAGTTTTTCTAGCCACTCCATTCAGGCTCTCTTCTTACTTCTTGGGTTAGTCCTCCTTGAGCTCCATTGGATGCATTTTTTTTTTTTTTGGGGGGGGGGGGAACCAGGGATTGAACTCAGGCCCTTGCGCTTGCCAGGCAAGCACTTATTCTACGGAACCCCCAATGAACGCCTCTTACTCTCATCTCACCCTTTAAATGTTGCTGTGTTGCAGAGATTTTCATCATCTTTTCCTTTCACATTCTTTCTCTGGATGAGCGCACTCAGTCACATGGCTCTACCATTTTGCTTATGACGTCTATGTAGATATTTTCGAAGTCGATGTCTCTGGTAAATGCTAGGTCAGTAAATCCAAATTCCTGTTGGATACCTCTTTGAAGCAAATGTTTTTCACTTCCACAATACATCTAAAATTAAGAAAAGTACCTATGAGTTAACCCCTCCTGCAGCCTTTCCCTTAACTTTCCCCTTTTATCTTCACCTGCACATCATCTAGCCTGTCATTAAGGCATGCATGTTATTAATTTTATTAGTTTACATTTGTTTATATTTCTCCCTTACTATTTTCTGGCCTCTGACATTGATTTAGGCTCCTATCCACTCTGACTGATGTAGGACAATAGCATCTTCATTACCCATGACCCAGGTCACCCATCCACCCTCTTCACTAGTTGTGAAGTGAACTTGCTCAGGTGGGCAGCTGTGAGTGCCACTCCTGGACTGTAAACTCTGCAGTGTTCCTCACAGCTCCAACTCCTGGACTTCTTCGGAAAGGCTGACCTAGCACCTGGCCCTCTCCTCTCCTCCCCTCCCCTCTCCTCCTCTCTCTCATGCCACAGATTGCATCCAAGTGAAATATTACAATCTGACTTTGGAAACTATTTAAGGAGTTTTGTTCTGCTCTGTAATTTATTAAAAGAAAATAGACTTTCAGGGAGAGAAGGGTCCAATAGTTTTCCAAGTAGATATGATATGTATATGGGTGAATTCCTCAGGATGAATAAAATTATTACACATGGAAAATATATGCTAATAACAATTAAAAATAATGAATATAAACAGCATGCATATAAATATAAAATTCTAAGTATATTATATTAAAAGATATTCTATTCAGCAGGACAAGAAGGGGAGAAAAGGATCAAATTTGGAAAGTAGGAAATTACAAGAAGCAAAATATGGAATGAATAGCGAGTAATGGCTTTCATACAAGAAGTCTGTTCTATTTTGATCATTTAGGACCAAACACGATCACCTCTCTCCTATACAGAGAGATGGTGTCACTTCAGAGAATTCCATTTTTAAAGTGTTTCCAATCATCAGTTTTAACTATTATAGGCAAATATAGTCTCATGTCATTATAAAATTTTTACTATCAAAACTGTCTAATAAATATTTTATGTAAAAAAACCTTTATTATTATGATCAAGATTTATAGTAGAATTTAAACTACCTAGAATAAAATGTTTAACCACTTCCAAAATACAGTTGCACATCAGATGTTCCAGTCAAAATATTCTAATTTTTAAATCACAGTAATTATTTTACAATTATATTCTTTTTGCAAGTCTTTCCTAGGCAATTAACACAAAATAATTTATAAAGTCTCGTTTATTATTTAGGATTTGTAAATCACTTTTAAAGGCTAAAAGAGATATTTCATATTAAACATTTTCATATTAATGAAGCAAATATGACAATACTTTGGTCTTTATTGGATAAATGTCTAGTATGATGTAAGAATAAATATTACTTATGAGAGACATCTCTGGTATTTATTGTGCTTTCCTTATGTATTTATTGTCTACAAATTTTATACTGTGAGTTTAAACAAACTCTCAGATAATGTCACTGTTGTATCTTTCCCAAGTGTAAGAATTGTTATACACAGGGCTCATAAAAATCCAAAGTGTCAACTCCTATTTTTCATGACTCTATTGACTTGTTTACCTGTCCTCCAAGTCATTAATCCAAGAGGATGAAGTAGGTGTATTATCTACTTTAGCACCATACCATTTTTTAATGAAAATAGTCTACTAAATACTGTATAAAAACCAAAATTTATTTTGATGGTGTTTCGTGTATATTCTGAAATAATCACTGTGTTTCCCTAGGACTTTTCAGCATGGCCTGGATGAGTCTGTTTCAGATCGTTTAAAGTTACCTTTCAACCAACCGTTACATTGGGTTTCTTGCATGTCACATTTCTACCCTTCTTTACTCAGGTAAGAACCTTTAGGTGCCACAGTATCTATAATCCTGTGATTCCATATTAGCATCCAATAGAAACTTTGATTCATGGGTGTAATGAATCTTACAGAAGGAATAAATGTTTCACAATAGGCAGTTAAGAGTCTCTCTCTCTCTCTCTCTCTCTCTCTCTCTCTCTCTCTCTCTCTCTCTCCCTCCCTCCCTCCCTCCCTCTGTCCCTCCCTCCCTCTGTCCCTCCCTCCCTCTCCCCCTTCCCCAACAAGTAAGCTATGAAGCTATGAAGCACAGGCTTCATAATCACTCAACTAATGTATGGCTTTAGTGATAGAATAGAAAACAGTGAATTTTTGAAATATAGTTCAATAGTTGAATGTCTTAGCATTTAAACATTCATCCTTTTTGATCTATGACTGGGAATTTGATAGTTCTCAACTAATTATCAGCTATAGGCAGCAAAACTGGATAAGCCATGTAACTTGGAGCCTAAGGTAGAAGGTGAGAGAAGAGTAACATTTATAATTATGAATAGAACCTTTCACTTTTATTATTTAATTAACAGCATTTAAAATCAAGAGAAAATCATTTAAAGTGTGATATGTACTTCCAGAGCAATCTGATGACATTTTGTGGCATTATGTAGAATGGCAGTTTGATTCTTTCTGGAATATATCATTAGAAAATGCCTTTGCTATGTGTCTGAGAACAAAAATATCATGTATTGCTAAAGGAGATATTGTTCATCCTCATGCATTCTTCATTCATCTTGGAAATATATTATCAGTGATAGCACTGGAATATCGAAATTGACTATCTCTTTCTTGAGACCAAGAGTCCCATGTATAAGTAGAGGCTATGAAAAGCTTGTATATAAAACTCTGTCAATACAGGAGACATGTGTTGCTTGCACATATGTGCCTGTTTCCACACAGGTCATGGTCAAGCCAAGACTAATGAGACATAGATTCTGTCTTTGCGGACTTCAGTGTGTACTTACTATAGTTCACTTACACAAAGGACCATGTCAGTCTCTTTGCTGAATTTTTGATAATTGATTCCTGGACATAGAATTTCCTCATTAATGTCTTCTCAATAACCTATCACTTTCCATGCAAATATACTTTTATGTCAATAGGAATTCAGTAGTCAATTCTTTAATACTCATTATTGCAAAAATAAAATATTAAATAACTGGATCTTTTACAGTGTGAGTTAGGTGGACAGCCTATACCATTTTGATCAGTTGCTTAACTTCTAAATTGATTTTTCTTCCTGTTATCATCACATTTGTTTTAATCTATTTTTAAAATTAAATTTAATAAATAAATAAAATTAAATTTATGTTTTTAAAAAATTTTTTGATTGATACAAGGTCTCTCGATGCAGCTTGGACTCGTAATGACTGTCCTGTCTCAGCCTCCCCAGCACTGGGATTTAAGGTGTGTGCCACTATGCCCGGCGTTGTTCTGGGGTCCAGGGCTGGCTCAGCATGTGGTACCAGGGATCAAACTCAGGTCCTTGTGCTTGCCAGGCAGGTGCTTAGACTGCTGACCTATCTCCCTAGCCCTCGTTTAAATCTGTTTTTATTGCAGATTTTATTTTATATTTGGAACCATTGGCATTATCTCCCTTCATATATAGCTCTGAAAGATTCCCACCTCCAGGCCTGTTCAATTTAGCCCAGCTAGAGGCCTAGGAAGTCAGCGTGAAAATGGCTATTCTTGTATTTAAATTCTTTTTATTTCTATACTTAAAGCAAATGTAGACAGAACAATTTCTCACTTTTCTCTCCTTCCCTATCTCTCCTTCCCTCCTTCCCTTTCTTCTTTCCTTTCTTTCTGTTTGTTTTCAGTGAACCTTCTCCACTATTACCTTAACAGAATGATTAGAATATGTGTAGGAATAACTACCCAGACTATGTTAAAAAAAAAAAAAATTAGTAGAATTCGCTTTCTGGAGAGCAATTTAGTAACACACATCAAAAATTTTAAAATAGTTTTGTTCCTTGAGCCAGCAATTCCATTTGTAAGAATCAACCATAAGGAATTAGTTAAGGATGTCAACAAAATTTTATATATAAAGATGTCAGTCAAAGCATTTGTAAAAGAACTGGAAATAAATGTTCTGCAGTATCTTACTGGACTATAACTTGTTGTACTGTACCTGATGTACATAGTTCCAAGAGGTTTCACACATTATATTTTTTGCCATCTGTGAGCTTCTGAGGGGTAAAACACTCACGCCCCTCTTTTGTGGAGAGAAGGGTAATGTGTAGGGAGCAATTTTCTAAAGAGAAGAAAGCTGTGAGTTCAGCTCCCTAACTGATGTCCACTCCAGGGTAAAGTTCAAACTTTTTACAGCTGTACCAGCAGTGGTCTGTCTGTCTGTCTGTCTTTCTTTCTTTCTTTCTTTCTTTCTTTCTTTCTTTCTTTCTTTCTTTCTTTCTTTCTTTCTTTGGGGCTTTTTGAAACAGGATCTCACTGTATAGCTCAGGCTGCTCCTGAACTCACTCTAGCCCAGGCTAGCCTTAACTTGGAGTGATCCTGCTTCAGCCTCCTGAGTGTAGGGATTACCAGTGTGCGCCACCACTCCCAGCTGTACCACTACTTTTCAAAGAGAAAATCATTCGGGATTGTGTTAATAGGTATGCTTAAAAAATCATACCTATGCACAAGTAAGATGGTGAGTTTTTTTATTATATAAAGTATTTCTTTTATGGATTCATTTTGCATGGACACCAGTGTGCCAGCTTGTCTAGAGGGGAGAAGATCTATTCTGCAGATTCCCTAGAATTATTGAATGATAGAACCCTCATTATTCAGGGGAGGAACAGTTACTGGAAAGTGGGATGCTATCAAGTAGTCTGATCTGTGGTACATTCTCATTTAAAGAGTGTTACAAAAGTATGTAGAAAAATGAATATTGTAAGGATATGTGCTGGAAAGGTTTTTATCTCTAAGTGGTGCATTTGCAAGTCATTTTAATTTTTATCTGCATTTTTCAAAGTTCTTATAATGAGTATTATTTAATTTTGTTAAGATGAAAACAAATTTTAAATGAAGTTAAAAAAAATCCACTTTGTTGTCTTTGCTCACATTGGTTTAAGCTGCCATCTCTATCAGATGATTTATGGCTCTAAGTGCTTACCTATAGACCAATACTGTATGTTCAGCTGCTTGTATTTCTTAAGTGATCTACTGAATTAATGGAAACCCATCACAGTATCCTCAGCCAATCCTTTCTTTCTCTCTTGCCTTGTCTTCCATCCACAGGGTCTTTCCTGTTAGGAATGTTACTGTTCCTAACTGCTTACAAGATCAAACATGAGTGTTTTCTGTCCTATTCCATCATCATATGTAGTCAGTTCTTCCCCTTCAATCCTTTTAGAAGCCCTCTTTACCTCCAGCCCATTATAATGACCTTGGTTTTCCAATTATTTAGCGCGTTTACAGTATTGTGTGCACCAGGCCCCTCTCGTCCTCACATTCCTAGCACAGCCTCTCTTGTCTCATTTCTTGGAGCACTGAACAATCAACTCCAGTTGTGTCTGTGTCCCCACAAGTCCCAAAGACTCAGTCATTCTGGGCTTTTTGACTTTTATTTGTTGCTTATTCACAGCACCAGGGCTTCATGTGTGTAGTTTTCATTCCCATAATGCCTTTGGTTCCAGGTCCTTCATGCAAGATTTGATTTGAGCAACTCAGTCAGTGTCATATACTCAGACAGTTTTCTCTGCTAGGACAATGTATTCTGTTTAGGAAGACATGGTCCGTGTAATTTATTTCTCAATGTCCTCAGAACAGTGAAACCATCAGAGGATCCCAGGATGACACTTTAAAAACAACTCAAGTTATTTATTTGCCTTTGGCAGATATGGCAAGGTGGATTCCTGGACCACTATTGTATGACTTAAAAAATCTTCATCTTTCCATCCAGTTTTTAAAAGTGTATCAGTTATCTCTGTATCTTTTGCCCTCAATTATTCTTCAAATGTCCATCTACCTTTGTAACTAAAGTGAGTGCTCATTGAAGTGCATGGGCCAAATGCTAAAAGGGTAAAAATCTCTTAGGCTTCTTTTTGGAAAGGGAAAAGCCAAGAAGAGAGGTGGCTGAAACAGTTCCTATCACAAAGGACCTTAATAATAGCTTACTTACTTAGAACTACACATTGTTTCTGAAATAACTTGAGTTCGTTTTTAGGAACCCTAAATAAAGGTAACGTAGGTGAAAAGAAAGAACAAGAGCAAGAGAAGAACATGAAATTATAGCCGTAGGGACCATAAATTTGTCCAGAAGCTTACAGAAAATAACTATGAAGAATATAAAGAGAGAAAAAAGAAAAATGTTTTTCTTCTTCCTCAGCATGAAAGACATAGTTTTTGAAGATTTTGACTTAGAGAAAATAAATGTATTTTCATGGCAGTAAGTAAAATATACTACATTCATGTCCCTCACATTGGTAAAAGCTAACAATGTGACTTGATTTAGAAATATTAATTGGTTTCAGTCTAGATTAAATTAAAGCATGTGAAGAAATATCTCAATCTCTAGCTTTATATTATGATACCGTATTGTACTTTCATATAATTATTCAAAAAGTATGCTATCTTGGTGTCTATAGTATGTTATATGTATAATGATTTTATTATTTTCCCAAACTTTCATATTCATGTATTTCTTTAAAATTTTTCAAGGATTTTTCAGGTCTTTTTTGTTGAACCATTTTTTAGGTCATAACTAAATATTGACTCTAAGTAGCATAATCAGTTTGAATAAACAATCTGTTTTATGCTGCTCAGTTTCTTTTATGAGTACAAGATGCTTTGTGTCAGTCCATTTGGAGTTACAGATATGTGTGTACCTACTGTACTTTCATTTTACACTAACACTGTAATTCCATTTATAAGTTTTTTCCTAAGTATATTAAGCAACATTTGGCTTCATTGGATGGACAATGTGTTTCGTGGCTCTATATCGAGCTCACTAAGATGGTTCATTCATTTGTTCAACAATACAT